TTAGGCAAAGTTCGCGCTTTCAGCACAGATATAATACGAGGCAGAGGGCAAGGTCGGCTAACTCAAGACCACCAAACGCAGCATCTAAAATACTCTGATGATGGAAGCGAAAGGGTTCCGAACCGTCGGTTCAAATATAATTTCGTCCATGAACCCGCCCCCTCTTCTTCTTCCTTTTCTTTGGGAGACGATGAACGCGATAACATATCTGGACCCCGTATCTCTCTGCATATAAAGTTACTATAACACTTTCGCGTGAGTTGTTGTAGTACAATGCGAGACAGTATGAAAACAAACGAGTCAGACAGTTTTTTTACAATGCTGGTATTAAGAAATAATGTTGTGAGAGCCGATTTTTGTCAAATATAATGTAATTCGGTCTTCTCTGTAGTTTATTATTTAGTTAAGTGTAGCTATTAATTAATCATTTATTTTCTATTATTTTAAAGTTACCTCAATTTTTAGTTTAGTTAAGCTTGCCGCTCATTATTTAATACTACTCGTTTTAGTGTAGTTTTTTTTATTTTTTTAGTTTTTTTCCTTCCCCTGATATGCCCCACCTATATAACCTCGATTCCCACCGTTCCCTTAGTACACAAATACGAGTTTTTGTTACTGCGATTTTGTTTATAAGGAGTCCATACCGAGCTCTCCTCAAAGTGGTCAAATTCAACATTGCACAGCGATAGTTGCCGATAGACCGGCCTCATTGTTGTCGGCCCACGTCACACCCAAATTCAACAGCCACTTGCGAAACGCCTTCTATGTGTTTAAATTCCTGCTCAACCTGACAGCGCTTGGCTGGGCGTGTAAGTGCGTGTGGGAGAACTGGTGAATGCCCGTCTGCAAACGCTACAGGCACTGAAGCTGACTCACTGGTTTCTCTTCACCATGGCCATCAGGCAGGCAGTGCTTTTTGCATGCCCTTGGTTTGCAACGACCTAATTTATTAAAAAGAATAGGAGAATGCGGGGGACGCAGAGGGAGGGAGGGAGGAAGAGACTGGTTACGAAAACGCACAAACCTGTCCAGGGCGGAGCAGCGGCCGTCCCGGGAGTGCAAAAGTAAGCTTTCATTCGCTCTCTCTCTCTCCCTCGTGATCGGCAGCGAGGTAATTAACTACACAAAAGTTACCTGCAGCGTGGTAATAGTTGGGGCCTAACCATGACTCTGGCTGTCGGTCCTTACCACAATGATTGTGCAGATGGCAGGCCAGTTCGCTGCCTGTCTGGAAAATGCTGTGTCGGAAATGCTGACAGTAAGAACGACTTGTGTATGGTCGCCTAAAAAGGGCTCGGGAATAGGAAACACCTACAATACACGCGCCAACTTCCGGGGAAATTAGGTTTTGAATTGAGGGTGGAGTTTAGAGTTAAGTTGACGGTTAGGTTGGGGGGTTATAGTCAAGATTAGGTTAAGCGTTCAGATTTGGGTTTGCGTTCACCGTAGGATGTACGTTTAGGGTAGGTCTAGGGTTAAGGTGACAGTTTAGGTTTTGTTGGGAATGCCTCCATGCCTCCCACGACGAGTCATCACACAGAAAGGCGTCTACGTGAGCTGCCACACTGCTGTCATGAGAGCGCGCACCTGGACCGGATGGTCAGATCTGATTGGTCCATGTCGCCGGCAATTTCTCACCAAGCGGATCAATGTTGGGGTAGGTAAGAGGATTTTGGCTTAACCATCCTCTTTAAGTACGCCATTGAACGGGTTCTCGGGAAGGCCCTACAGGAAAATGACGGTATTG